AACTAGGGCCCCGTTGGGGCACTGGCGGGCCCGAGCCGTGTCGCGCCGCCCCCAACACGACCGCCTCTCCCTACCGATCGCGTCACACTCAAGGTCCAAAGATGGTGTGCGCACTTGTCTGTGGTCATTTACAATTATAATGAATGGGAGGCGCAGTTTCTACCAAAACGCTCGCCGCAGACAAACTACATGTCCTATTTGAAAAGGACTGGACCATGAGTGAGGGCACAAACACAGCTAGGATATATCCAAATGGCAAGTTGCTCCTCCTTTCGGTTTTGCCGAGAGAGCGATGTGTTTGAGTCATTGAGCGATGGGCAGGAAAAACTTGACTTTTTCTCCTGCCATGGGGGGGCGCTCTTTTAGGGAGTAAAAATTCCTTCACAAATGTGTTGATGGCTAGACATTGCATCATCCTAGAAAACTTGGAGGCCAGTGAGGACAAAAATAAAAAGTTATGACTTTTAAGAATGTGGATTTTTGGGTTATCTTTGGCGCCCCCTAGAACATAAACCGTGGGGTGCATCGTCATGATTTTTACAACTTTGAATGGCCATGGGGTGTAGATTGGCCTGAGTAAATTTGGTGTCAGTGGAACGAAAGCTTTAGGAGGAGTTAGCCACATTCCAATGTGTGCGAATCGACCAAAAATGCGAAATAGCCCTTTAACCGTACATTTTATAGATACGCGCCCATTGACTATTTTGTAGATCTTATTGAGATACATGTGTGTGTCAATTTTTGTGTCATTTTGACAAAGCGTACAGGCGTGACAGTCAATAGTGTGAATTTTCACCTTAGGGGGCGCTATGGAGCCATTTTGCATTTTCTTGTTTGGGCGACTTCGGAATATCAAATTTTTCACCAGGCCCGGTCGTCCTGCCAAATTTCATGAGTTTTCGCCAGTGGGAAGTGGGCCATTTTCCAGTTCAAAGGGGAGGAAAAATAATAATAATAATAACTAGGGCCCCGGTGGGGCACTGTCGGGCCCGAGCCGCGTCGCGCCGCCCCCAGTGCGACCGCCTCCCCGTCCCGATCGAGTCACACTCAAGAACCAAAGATGGTGTGCGCACTTGTCTGTGGTCATTTCCCATTATAATGAATGGGAGGCGCAGTTTCTACCAAAACACTCGCTGCAGACAAACTTCATGTCCTATTTGAAAAAAGTCTGGACCATGAGTGAGGGCACAAACACAGCTATGATAAATCGAAATGCCAGGTTGCTCCTCCTTACGGTGTTGCCTGGAGAGCGATGCGATTGAGCCATTGAGCGATGGGCAGGAAAAACTTGACTTTTTCTCCTGCCATGGGGGGGGGATGTGGATTCTTTTAAGAATGTGGATTTTTGGGTCATCTTTGGCGCCCCCTAGAACGTAAACCATGGGGTGCAGCGTCATGATTTTTACAACTTTGAATGGCCATGGGGTGTAGATTGGCCTGAGCAAATTTGGTGTCAGTGGGACGAAAGCCTTAGGAGGAGTTAGCCACATTCCAATGTGTGCGAATCGGCAAAAAATGCAAAATAGCCCTTTAACCGTACATTTGACAGATACGCGCGAATTGACTTTTTTGTAGATCTTATTGAGATACATATGTGTGTCAATTTTTGTGTCAATATGATAAAGCGTACGGGCGTGACAGTCAATAGTGTGAATTTCCACCTTAGGGGACAAGAAAAAATTGACTTTTTTCTCCTGCCATGGGGGGGCGCTCTTTTGGGGAGTAAAAATTCCTTCACAAATGTGTTGATGGCTGGACATTGCATCATCCTAGAAAACTTGGAGGCCAGTGAGGACAAAAATAAAAAGTTATAAGACTTTGAAATATGTGGATTTTAGGGTTATCTTTGGCGCCCCCTAGAACCTAAACCGTGGGATGCAGCGTCATGATTTGAATAACTTTTAATGGCCATGGGGTGTAGATTGGCCTGAGCAAATGTGGTGCCGGTGGAACGAAAGCCTTCGGAGTAGTTAGCGAAATTCCAATGTGTGCGGATCGGCAAAAAATGCGGAATAACCCTTTAACCGTACATTTGACAGATACGCGCGCATTGACTTTTTCGTAGATCTTATTGAGATACATGTTTGTGTCAATTTTTGTGTCATTTTGACAAAGCGTACAGGTGTTACACTCAACAATGTGTATTTTCACCTTAGGGGACAAGAAAAAATTGACTTTTTTCTCCTGCCATGGGGTGGCGCTCTTTTGGGGAGTAAAAATTCCTTCACAAATGTGTTGATGGCTGGACATTGCATCATCCTAGAAAACTTGGAGGCCAGTGAGGGCAAAAATAAAAAGTTATAAGACTTTTAAATATGTGGATCTTAGGGTTATCTTTGGCGCCCCCTAGAACCTAAAGCTTGGGGTGCAGCGTCATGATTTGAATAACTTTTAATGGCCATGGGGTGTAGATTGGCCTGAGCAAATGTGGTGCCGGTGGAACGAAAGCCTTCGGAGGAGTTAGCGAAATTCCAATGTGTGCGGATCGGCAAAAAATGCGAAATAACCCTTTAACCGTACATTTGACAGATACGCCCGCACTGACTTTTTTGTAGATCTTACTGAGATACATGTGTGTGTCAATTTTTGTGTCATTTTCACAAAGCGTACAGGCGTGACAGTCAATAGTGTGAATTTTCACCTTAGGGGGCGCTATGGAGCCATTTTGCATTTTCTTGTTTGGGCGACTTCGGAATATCAAATTTTTCACCAGGCCCGGTCGTCCTGCCAATTTTCATGAGTTTTCGCGGGTGGGAAGTGGGCCATTTTCCAGTTCAAAGGGGAGGAAAAATAACTAGGACCCAGTTGGGGCACTGGCGGGCCCGAGCCGTGTCGCGTCCCCCCCCCCCCCCCCCCCCAACGTGCTGCCTTCCCGTCCCATTTGTGTCCTCTGGCCATCGCCCTCTCTGGTAACGCCCATCACTGCAAAGACCCTTTTCCTTCATCGGCGTTTGCTGTTCTTCCTGCCAGTGCGTGTTGCTTTCACTTACACTTGCCACAGCCAGCCTCGTGAGTGCCTAGCCTATTGGATATCACTGTCACCTACACAGGACAGTCATTACCTTTCTATTAATACTTTGTGTTTTAATTTCACATTAATTTCCATATTGTATAAACGACTGGAAAAAACTTGAGCCCCTGCCCCTGTATAATCATGTGCATGTCTCTGTTCTAGCTCCAAGGTGAATCTTCACTGCTCATGTTCTCCTCAGAAGCACTCACCTCACTCCCCTCAGGTTACTGTACACATGCACCAACTGCCTGCTTCAGGTTTGGATGGAGCTTCATGGTTGTCTTTTGGAGAAATGACCAGTCAAGTTGTGTTTGAAATTTGATTTTTTTCAGGGGCAAAAGGAGCCTCTGCATTCTTGTCAAATATGTAAATAGCATGTTTTTGCAGGTGCTAAAAACCAGACTCTGAGTGTGTGTGTGTGTGTGTGTGTGTGTGTGTGTGTGTGTGTGTGTGTGCGTGTGTGTGTGTCTGTGTGTGCGTTCAAGTCACATGACATATTTAACCGGATGTAGCTGCAAGACGGAGCCTCGTTGACTCTCCGTTTCAACTTATCTCAAAAGTGAGGACCTCAACCTATATACCAGTTTTTAAATTGTGTTGATAGGCCAAATAAAACCAGAGTTATGATAAATTATGTCCGCGATACTTTTTTTCTGCTTATTTTGATCACGTTCGGCGCTCGATCGCGCTGTATGAGACAGGAAAACATAGCCATAGACAAGGGGCGGGCGCTTACGTTCTTCCTGCAACATGAGAAGGGAGGGAGGGACTCTCAGCAGGGATGCAGTCTGGGACACGTAGTTGCAAACCTAGCGACTTTGTTGTTAGATTCAATGACTTTTCAGACCCCCTAACGACTTTTTTTTAGAAAGAAAGGGACTTTTATCGACTTCTTCTGGAGTTTAGAGACTCTGACATGAAGCAGGCTTTCCTTACTGAGGAGTTAGCAACGCTGCTAAGGGTGCAGAGCCACACATGCGCTCAGAGCTCTGCATGGGAGACTGAAGCTGACAGAGCTGCAGCAGTTAGCAGGTTTCACCCTCAGAGACCACCAGGGGTTCATGTTGAGGCATTTTAATTTTTTTTTTTTTTTGTGCCATAGACACTGTCAGCACAATCTGCAGTTACACTAACAAAAATGCTGCAAAAAAAGAAGAATTATGGAAAAATTACACATGGACTGACATAGAGGAGGATCTACACAAGTTTTTTACATCATGTTTTACATCATGCATCATTTACATCATGTTTTTTTGTAGTGGCATAAATAAAAAGTGACATTTGTGAGACTATACAGTGTTTTGTAAATAATTTTACAAAGAACGCCTGGGCCATTGCCTGCATTTTGATGTAAATAGAGGTAAATCACTATGTTCTTTGTTAAAAATTTGCATATGTTTTGAAGTTTACAATTTTTATTTGAAGTTTAAGTTTTAAAAACAGTTCATCACACATATTTGTGGTTTTCACAGTAAAAATGTTACTTTTTTCCACTCGGATTTTATGTTTTGTGTGTGAATTTGGGTCCATTGTGTAAATTCAGTATGTCAACATGATAAAATAACTGTAAATTCGCACAGGTTAGGTTGTGCTGAAAAAAATGATACCAGGCAAGGCACGTGATTGTCAAATTTTGTGTCAATATGACAAAGCGTATAGGCGTGAATCTCAACAATATGTATTTTCACCTTAGGGGACAAGAAAAAATGGACTTTTTTCTCCTGCCATGGGGGGCGCTCTTTTGGGGAGTAAAAATTCCTTCACAAATGTGTTGATGGCTGGACATTGCATCATCCTAGAAAACTTGGAGGCCAGTGAGCACAAAAATAAAAAGTTATAAGACTTTTTAAAAATGTGGATATTTGGGTCCTCTTTGGCGCCCCCTAGAACGTAGACCGTGGGGTGCAGCGTCATGATTTTTACAACTTTGAATGGCCATGGGGTGTAGATTGGCCTGAGCAAATTTGGTGTCAGTGGGACGAAAGCCTTCGGAGGACTAAGCCACATTCCAATGTGTGCGAATCTGCAAAAAATGCGAAAAAGCCCTTTAACCGTACATTTTACAGATACGCGCGCATTGACTTTTTCGTAGATCTTCTTGAGATGCACGTGATTGTCAAATTTTGTGTCAATATGACAAAGCGTACAGGCGTGACATTCAACAATGTGTATTTTCGCCTTGGGGGACAAGAAAAAATGGACTTTTTTCTCCTGCCATGGGGGGCGCTCTTTTGGGGAGTAAAAATTCCTTCACAAATGTGTTGATGGCTGGACATTGCATCATCCTAGAAAACTTGGAGGCCAGTGAGGACAAAAATAAAAAGTTATAAGACTTTTAAGACTGTGGATTTTTGGGTTATCTTTGGCGCCCCCTAGAACCTAAACCGTGGGGTGCAGCGTCATGATTTGTACAACTTTGAATGGCCATGGGTTGTAGATTGGCCTGAGCAACTATGGTGTCAGTGGGACGAAAGCCTTCGGAGGAGTTAGCGAAATTACAATGTGTGCGAATCGGCAAAAAATGCAAAATAGCCCTTTTACCGTACATTATACAGATACGCGCTCTTTGACTTTTTCGTAGATCTAATTGAGATACACATGATTGTCAATTTTTGTGTCAATATGACAAAGAGTTCAGGCATGACACTCAACAATGTGTATTTTCACCTTAGGGGACAAGAAAAAATTGACTTTTTTCTCCTGCCATGGGGGGGCGCTCTTTTGGGGAGTAAAAATTCCTTCACAAATGTGTTGATGGCTGGACATTGCATCATCCTAGAAAACTTGGAGGCCAGTGAGGACAAAAATAAAAAGTTATAAGACTTTTAAATATTTGGATTTTAGGGTTATCTTTGGCGCCCCCTAGAACGTAAACCGTGGGGTGCAGCGTCATGATTTGTACAACTTTTAATGGCCATGGGGTGTAGATTGGCCTGAGCAAATGTGGTGCCGGTGGAACGAAAGCCTTCGGAGGAGTTAGCGAAATTCCAATGTGTGCGGATCGGCAAAAAATGCGAAATAAACCTTTAACCGTACATTATACAGATACGCGCTCTTTGACTTTTTCGTAGATCCTATTGAGATACACGTGTGTGTCAATTTTTGTGTCAATATGACAAAGCGTTTAGGCGTGACACTCAACAATGTGTATTTTCATGTTAGGGGACAAGAAAAACTTGACTTTTTTCTCCTGCCATGGGGGGGCGCTCTTTTGGGGAGTAAAAATTCCTTCACACATGTGTTGATGGCTGGACATAGCATCATCCTAGGAAACTTGGAGGCCAGTGAGGACAAAAATAAAAAGTTATAAGACTTTTAAGAATGTGGATTTTTGGGTTATCTTTGGCGCCCCCTAGAACATAAACCGTGGGGTGCAGCGTCATGATTTGTACAACTTTTAATGGCCATGGGGTGTAGATTGGCCTGAGCAAATTTGGTGCCGGTGGAACGAAAGCCTTCGGAGGAGTTAGCGAAATTCCAATGTGTGCGGATCGGCAAAAAATGCGAAATAGCCCTTTAACCGTACATTTGACAGATACGCGCGCATTGACTTTTTTGTAGATCTTATTGAGATACATATGTGTGTCAATTTTTGTGTCAATATGATAAAGCGTACAGGCGTGACAGTCAATAGTGTGAATTTCCACCTTAGGGGACAAGAAAAAATGGACTTTTTTCTCCTGCCATGGGGGGGCGCTCTTTTGGGGAGTAAAAATTCCTTCACAAATGTGTTGATGGCTGGACATTGCATCATCCTAGAAAACTTGGAGGCCAGTGAGGACAAAAATAAAAAGTTATAAGACTTTTAAATATGTGGATTTTAGGGTTATCTTTGGCGCCCCCTAGAACCTAAACCGTGGGGTGCAGCGTCATGATTTGAATAACTTTTAATGGCCATGGGGTGTAGATTGGCCTGAGCAAATGTGGTGCCGGTGGAACGAAAGCCTTCGGAGGAGTTAGCGAAATTCCAATGTGTGCGGATCGGCAAAAAATGCGGAATAACCCTTTAACCGTACATTTGACAGATACGCGCGCATTGACTTTTTCGTAGATCTTATTGAGATACATGTGTGTGTCAATTTTTGTGTCATTTTGCCAAAGCGTACAGGTGTTACACTCAACAATGTGTATTTTCACCTTAGGGGACAAGAAAAAATGGACTTTTTTCTCCTGCCATGGGGGGGCGCTCTTTTGGGGAGTAAAAATTCCTTCACAAATGTGTTGATGGCTGGACATTGCATCATCCTAGAAAACTTGGAGGCCAGTGAGGGCAAAAATAAAAAGTTATAAGACTTTTAAATATGTGGATCTTAGGGTTATCTTTGGCGCCCCCTAGAACCTAAACCGTGGGGTGCAGCGTCATGATTTGAATAACTTTTAATGGCCATGGGGTGTAGATTGGCCTGAGCAAATGTGGTGCCGGTGGAACGAAAGCCTTCGGAGGAGTTAGCGAAATTCCAATGTGTGCGGATCGGCAAAAAATGCTAAATAACCCTTTAACCGTACATTTGACAGATACGCCCGCACTGACTTTTTTGTAGATCTTATTGAGATACATGTGTGTGTCAATTTTTGTGTCATTTTGACAAAGCGTACAGGCGTGACAGTCAATAGTGTGAATTTCCACCTTAGGGGGCGCTATGGAGCCATTTTGCATTTTATTGTTTGGGCGACTTCAGAATATCGAATTTTTCACCAGGCCCGGTCGTCCTGCCAAATTTCATGAGTTTTCGCCAGTGGGAAGTGGGCCATTTTCCAGTTCAAAGGGGAGGAAAAAGAAGAAAGAAAGAAAGAAAGAAAGAAACAAAGAAAAACCACTTGAGGAATAATAGGGCTCTCGCAGCTGCTTAGCAGCTACGCTCGGGCCCTAACTAGGGCCCCGGTGGGGCACTGGCGGGCCCGAGCCGTGTCGCGCCGCCCCCAGTGCGACCGCCTACCCCTCCCTTTTGCGTCACACTCAAGGTCCAAAGATGGTGTGCGCACTTGTCTGTGGTCATTTACCATTATAATGAATGGGAGGCGCAGTTTCTACCAAAACGCTCGCTGCAGACAAACTCCATGTCCTTTTTGAAAAAAGTCTGGACCATGAGTGAGGGCACAAACACAGCTAGTATATATCCAAATGGCAAGTTGCTCCTCCTTTCGGTTTTGCCGAGAGAGCGATGCGTTTGAGCCATTGAGCGATGGGCAGGAAAAACTTGACTTTTTCTCCTGCCATGGGGGGGCGCTCTTTTGGGGAGTAAAAATTCCTTCACAAATGTGTTGATGGCTGGACATTGCATCATCCTAGAAAACTTGGAGGCCAGTGAGCACAAAAATAAAAAGTTATAAGACTTTTTAAAATGTGGATATTTGGGTCCTCTTTGGCGCCCCCTAGAACGTAGACCGTGGGGTGCAGCGTCATGATTTTTACAACTTTGAATGGCCATGGGGTGTAGATTGGCCTGAGCAAATTTGGTGTCAGTGGGACGAAAGCCTTCGGAGGACTAAGCCACATTCCAATGTGTGCGAATCTGCAAAAAATGCGAAAAAGCCCTTTAACCGTACATTTTACAGATACGCGCGCATTGACTTTTTCGTAGATCTTCTTGAGATGCACGTGATTGTCAAATTTTGTGTCAATATGACAAAGCGTACAGGCGTGACATTCAACAATGTGTATTTTCACCTTAGGGGACAAGAAAAAATGGACTTTTTTCTCCTGCCATGGGGGGGCGCTCTTTTGGGGAGTAAAAATTCCTTCACAAATGTGTTGATGGCTGGACATTGCATCATCCTAGAAAACTTGGAGGCCAGTGAGGACAAAAATAAAAAGTTATAAGACTTTTAAGACTGTGGATTTTTGGGTTATCTTTGGCGCCCCCTAGAACCTAAACCGTGGGGTGCAGCGTCATGATTTGTACAACTTTGAATGGCCATGGGTTGTAGATTGGCCTGAGCAACTATGGTGTCAGTGGGACGAAAGCCTTCGGAGGAGTTAGCGAAATTACAATGTGTGCGAATCGGCAAAAAATGCAAAATAGCCCTTTTACCGTACATTATACAGATACGCGCTCTTTGACTTTTTCGTAGATCTAATTGAGATACACATGATTGTCAATTTTTGTGTCAATATGACAAAGAGTTCAGGCATGACACTCAACAATGTGTATTTTCACCTTAGGGGACAAGAAAAAATTGACTTTTTTCTCCTGCCATGGGGGGGCGCTCTTTTGGGGAGTAAAAATTCCTTCACAAATGTGTTGATGGCTGGACATTGCATCATCCTAGAAAACTTGGAGGCCAGTGAGGACAAAAATAAAAAGTTATAAGACTTTTAAATATTTGGATTTTAGGGTTATCTTTGGCGCCCCCTAGAACGTAAACCGTGGGGTGCAGCGTCATGATTTTTACAACTTTTAATGGCCATGGGGTGTAGATTGGCCTGAGCAAATTTGGTGCCGGTGGAACGAACGCCTTCGGAGGAGTTAGCGAAATTCCAATGTGTGCGGATCGGCAAAAAATGCGAAATAGCCCTTTAACCGTACATTATACAGATACGCGCTCTTTGACTTTTTCGTAGATCCTATTGAGATACACGTGTGTGTCAATTTTTGTGTCAATATGACAAAGCGTTTAGGCGTGACACTCAACAATGTGTATTTTCATGTTAGGGGACAAGAAAAACTTGACTTTTTTCTCCTGCCATGGGGGGGCGCTCTTTTGGGGAGTAAAAATTCCTTCACACATGTGTTGATGGCTGGACATAGCATCATCCTAGGAAACTTGGAGGCCAGTGAGGACAAAAATAAAAAGTTATAAGACTTTTAAGAATGTGGATTTTTGGGTTATCTTTGGCGCCCCCTAGAACATAAACCGTGGGGTGCAGCGTCATGATTTGTACAACTTTTAATGGCCATGGGGTGTAGATTGGCCTGAGCAAATTTGGTGCCGGTGGAACGAAAGCCTTCGGAGGAGTTAGCGAAATTCCAATGTGTGCGGATCGGCAAAAAATGCGAAATAGCCCTTTAACCGTACATTTGACAGATACGCCCGCACTGACTTTTTTGTAGATCTTATTGAGATACATGTGTGTGTCAATTTTTGTGTCATTTTGACAAAGCGTACAGGCGTCAGGTGAGTTTTCACCATAGGGGGCGCTATGGAGCCATTTTTCATTTTTTTGTTTGGGCGACTTCAGAATATCAAATTTTTCACCAGGCCCGGTCGTCCTCCAAATTTCCTGAGTTTTCGCCAGTGGGAAGTGGGCCATTTTCCAGTTTAAAGCGGAGGAAAAATAACGAAAGAAGAATCCATCAGGAACAAGAGGGCTCTCGCAGCTGCTTAGCAGCTACGCTCGGGCCCTAATAATAATAACTAGGGCCCCGTTGGGGCACTGGCGGGCCCGAGCCGTGTCGCGCCGCCCCCAACACGACCGCCTCTCCCTACCGATCGCGTCACACTCAAGGTCCAAAGATGGTGTGCGCACTTGTCTGTGGTCATTTACAATTATAATGAATGGGAGGCGCAGTTTCTACCAAAATGCTCGCCGCAGACAAACTACATGTCCTATTTGAAAAGGACTGGACCATGAGTGAGGGCACAAACACAGCTAGGATATATCCAAATGGCAAGTTGCTCCTCCTTTCGGTTTTGCCGAGAGAGCGATGTGTTTGAGTCATTGAGCGATGGGCAGGAAAAACTTGACTTTTTCTCCTGCCATGGGGGGGCGCTCTTTTAGGGAGTAAAAATTCCTTCACTAATGTGTTGATGGCTAGACATTGCATCATCCTAGAAAACTTGGAGGCCAGTGAGGACAAAAATAAAAAGTTATGACTTTTAAGAATGTGGATTTTTGGGTTATCTTTGGTGCCCCCTAGAACATAAACCGTGGGGTGCATCGTCATGATTTTTACAACTTTGAATGGCCATGGGGTGTAGATTGGCCTGAGTAAATTTGGTGTCAGTGGAACGAAAGCTTTAGGAGGAGTTAGCCACATTCCAATGTGTGCGAATCGACCAAAAATGCGAAATAGCCCTTTAACCGTACATTTTATAGATACGCGCCCATTGACTATTTCGTAGATCTTATTGAGAAACACGTGATTGTCAAAGTTTGTTTCAATATGACAAAGCGTACAGGCGTGACACTCAATAATGTGAATTTTCACCTTAGGGGGGAAGAAAAACTGGACTTTTTTCTCCTGCCATGGGGGGGCGCTCTTTTGGGGAGTAAAAATTCCTTCACAAATGTGTTGATGGCTAGACATTGCATCATCCTAGAAAACTTGGAGGCCAGTGAGGACAAAAATAAAAAGTTATACGACTTTTAAGAATGTGGATTTCTGGGTTATCTTTGGCGCCCCCTAGAACGTAAACCGTGGGATGCAGCGTCATGATTTGTACAACTTTTAATGGCCATGGGGTGTAGATTGGCCTGAGCAAATTTGGTGCTGGTGGAACGAAAGCCTTCGGAGGAGTTAGCGAAATTCCAATGTGTGCGGATCGGCAAAAAATGCGAAATAGCCCTTTAACCGTACATTTGACAGATACGCGCGCATTGACTTTTTCGTAGATCTTATTGAGATACATGTTTGTGTCAATTTTTGTGTCATTTTGACAAAGCGTACAGGTGTTACACTCAACAATGTGTATTTTCACCTTAGGGGACAAGAAAAAATTGACTTTTTTCTCCTGCCATGGGGTGGCGCTCTTTTGGGGAGTAAAAATTCCTTCACAAATGTGTTGATGGCTGGACATTGCATCATCCTAGAAAACTTGGAGGCCAGTGAGGGCAAAAATAAAAAGTTATAAGACTTTTAAATATGTGGATCTTAGGGTTATCTTTGGCGCCCCCTAGAACCTAAAGCTTGGGGTGCAGCGTCATGATTTGAATAACTTTTAATGGCCATGGGGTGTAGATTGGCCTGAGCAAATGTGGTGCCGGTGGAACGAAAGCCTTCGGAGGAGTTAGCGAAATTCCAATGTGTGCGGATCGGCAAAAAATGCGAAATAACCCTTTAACCGTACATTTGACAGATACGCCCGCACTGACTTTTTTGTAGATCTTACTGAGATACATGTGTGTGTCAATTTTTGTGTCATTTTGACAAAGCGTACAGGCGTGACAGTCAATAGTGTGAATTTTCACCTTAGGGGGCGCTATGGAGCCATTTTGCATTTTCTTGTTTGGGCGACTTCGGAATATCAAATTTTTCACCAGGCCCGGTCGTCCTGCCAATTTTCATGAGTTTTCGCGGGTGGGAAGTGGGCCATTTTCCAGTTCAAAGGGGAGGAAAAATAACTAGGACCCAGTTGGGGCACTGGCGGGCCCGAGCCGTGTCCGTCCCCCCCCCCCCCCCCCCAACGTGCTGCCTTCCCGTCCCATTTGTGTCCTCTGGCCATCGCCCTCTCTGGTAACGCCCATCACTGCAAAGACCCTTTTCCTTCATCGGCGTTTGCTGTTCTTCCTGCCAGTGCGTGTTGCTTTCACTTACACTTGCCACAGCCAGCCTCGTGAGTGCCTAGCCTATTGGATATCACTGTCACCTACACAGGACAGTCATTACCTTTCTATTAATACTTTGTGTTTTAATTTCACATTAATTTCCATATTGTATAAACGACTGGAAAAAACTTGAGCCCCTGCCCCTGTATAATCATGTGCATGTCTCTGTTCTAGCTCCAAGGTGAATCTTCACTGCTCATGTTGTCCTCAGAAGCACTCACCTCACTCCCCTCAGGTTACTGTACACATGCACCAACTGCCTGCTTCAGGTTTGGATGGAGCTTCATGGTTGTCTTTTGGAGAAATGACCAGTCAAGTTGTGTTTGAAATTTGATTTTTTTCAGGGGCAAAAGGAGCCTCTGCATTCTTGTCAAATATGTAAATAGCATGTTTTTGCAGGTGCTAAAAACCAGACTCTGAGTGTGTGTGTGTGTGTGTGTGTGTGTGTGTGTGTGTGTGTGTGTGTGTGTGTGTGTGTGTGTGTGTGTGTGTGTCTGTGTGTGCGTTCAAGTCACATGACATATTTAACCGGATGTAGCTGCAAGACGGAGCCTCGTTGACTCTCCGTTTCAACTTATCTCAAAAGTGAGGACCTCAACCTATATACCAGTTTTTAAATTGTGTTGATAGGCCAAATAAAACCAGAGTTATGATAAATTATGTCCGCGATACTTTTTTTCTGCTTATTTTGATCACGTTCGGCGCTCGATCGCGCTGTATGAGACAGGAAAACATAGCCATAGACAAGGGGCGGGCGCTTACGTTCTTCCTGCAACATGAGAAGGGAGGGAGGGACTCTCAGCAGGGATGCAGTCTGGGACACGTAGTTGCAAACCTAGCGACTTTGTTGTTAGATTCAATGACTTTTCAGACCCCCTAACGACTTTTTTTTAGAAAGAAAGGGACTTTTATCGACTTCTTCTGGAGTTTAGAGACTCTGACATGAAGCAGGCTTTCCTTACTGAGGAGTTAGCAACGCTGCTAAGGGTGCAGAGCCACACATGTGCTCAGAGCTCTGCATGGGAGACTGAAGCTGACAGAGCTGCAGCAGTTAGCAGGTTTCACCCTCAGAGACCACCAGGGGTTCATGTTGAGGCATTTTAATTTTTTTTTTTTTTTTTGCCATAGACACTGTCAGCACAATCTGCAGTTACACTAACAAAAATGCTGCAAAAAACAAAGAATTATGGAAAAATTACACATGGACTGACATAGAGGAGGATCTACACAAGTTTTTTACATCATGTTTTACATCATGCATCATTTACATCATGTTTTTTTGTAGTGGCATAAATAAAAAGTGACATTTGTGAGACTATACAGTGTTTTGTAAATAATTTTACAAAGAACGCCTGGGCCATTGCCTGCATTTTGATGTAAATAGAGGTAAATCACTATGTTCTTTGTTAAAAATTTGCATATGTTTTGAAGTTTACAATTTTTATTTGAAGTTTAAGTTTTAAAAACAGTTCATCACACATATTTGTGGTTTTCACAGTAAAAATGTTACTTTTTTCCACTCGGATTTTATGTTTTGTGTGTGAATTTGGGTCCATTGTGTAAATTCAGTATGTCAACATGATAAAATAACTGTAAATTCGCACAGGTTAGGTTGTGCTGAAAAAAATGATACCAGGCAAGGCACGTGATTGTCAAATTTTGTGTCAATATGACAAAGCGTATAGGCGTGAATCTCAACAATATGTATTTTCACCTTAGGGGACAAGAAAAAATGGACTTTTTTCTCCTGCCATGGGGGGGCGCTCTTTTGGGGAGTAAAAATTCCTTCACAAATGTGTTGATGGCTGGACATTGCATCATCCTAGAAAACTTGGAGGCCAGTGAGGACAAAAATAAAAAGTTATAAGACTTTTAAATATGTGGATTTTAGGGTTATCTTTGGCGCCCCCTAGAACCTAAACCGTGGGGTGCAGCGTCATGATTTGAATAACTTTTAATGGCCATGGGGTGTAGATTGTCCTGAGCAAATGTGGTGCCGGTGGAACGAAAGCCTTAGGAGAAGTTAGCCACATTCCAATGTGTGCGGATCGGCAAAAAATGCGGAATAACCCTTTAACCGTACATTTGACAGATACGCGCGCATTGACTTTTTCGTAGATCTTATTGAGTTACATGTGTGTGTCAATTTTTGTGTCATTTTGACAAAGCGTATAGGCGTGACACTCAACAATGTGTATTTTCACCTTAGGGGACAAGAAAAAATGGACTTTTTTCTCCTGCCATGGGGGGGCGCTCTTTTGGGGAGTAAAAATTCCTTCACAAATGTGTTGATGGCTGGACATTGCATCATCCTAGAAAACTTGGAGGCCAGTGAGGACAAAAATAAAAAGTTATAAGACTTTTAAATATGTGGATTTTAGTGTTATCTTTGGCGCCCCCTAGAACCTAAACCTTGGGGTGCAGCGTCATGATTTTTAATGGCCACGGGGTGTAGATTGGCCTGAGCAAATGTGGTGCCGGTGGAACGAAAGCCTTCGGAGGAGTTAGCGAAATTCCAATGTGTGCGGATCGGCAAAAAATGCGAAATAACCCTTTGACCGTACATTTGACAGATACGGCCGCACTGACTTTTTTGTAGATCTTATTGAGATACATATGTGTGTCAATTTTTGTGTCAATATGACAAAGCGTACAGGCGTGACAGTCAATAGTGTGAATTTCCACCTTAGGGGGCGCTATGGAGCCATTTTGCATTTTATTGTTTCGGCGACTTCAGAATATCGAATTTTTCACCAGGCCCGGTCGTCCTGCCAAATTTCATGAGTTTTCGCCAGTGGGAAGTGGGCCATTTTCCAGTTCAAAGGGGAGGAAAAAGAAGAAAGAAAGAAAGAAAGAAAGAAACAAAGAAAAACCACTTGGGGAATAATAGGGCCTACGCCCGGCTGCTCTGCAGCTGGCTCGGGCCCTAATAATAACACTAGGGCCCCGGTGGGGCACTGTCGGGCCCGAGCCGCGTTGCGCCGCCCCCAGCGCGACCGCCTCCCCCTCCCGATCGCGTCACACTCAAGGTCCAAAGATGGTGTGCGCACTTGTCTGTGGTCATTTCCCATTAAAATGAATGGGAGGCGCAGTTTCTACCAAAACACTCGCTGCAGACAAACTACATGTCCTATTTGAAAAAAGTCTGGACCATGAGTGAGGGCACAAACACAGCTAGGATATATCCAAATGGCAGATTGCTCCTCCTTACGGTGTTGCCGGGAGAGCGATGCGATTGAGCCATTGAGTGATGGGCAGGAAAAACTTGACTGTTTCTCCTGCCATGGGGGATGGGGGATGGGGGGGGGGGATGTGGATTCTTTTAAGAATGTGGATTTTTGGGTCATCTTTGGCGCCCCCTAAAACGTAAACCGTGGGGTGCAGCGTCATGATTTTTACAACTTTGAATGGCCATGGAGTGTAGATTGGCCTGAGCAAATTTGGTGTCAGTGGGACGAAAGCCTTAGGAGGAGTTAGCGAAATTCCAATGTGTGCGAATCGGCAAAAAATGCAAAATAGCCCTTTTACCGTACATTATACAGATACGCGCTCTTTGACTTTTTCGTAGATCTAATTGAGATACACATGATTGTCAATTTTTGTGTCATTTTGCCAAAGCGTACAGGCGTGACAGTCAACAATGTGTATTTTCACCTTAGGGGACAAGAAAAAATGGACTTTTTTCTCCTGCCATGGGGGGGCGCTCTTTTGGGGAGTAAAAATTCCTTCACAAATGTGTTGATGGCTGGACATTGCATCATCCTAGAAAACTTGGAGGCCAGTGAGGACAAAAATAAAAAGTTATAAGACTTTTAAAAATGTGGATTTTTGGGTTATCTTTGGCGCCCCCTAGAACGTAAACCGTGGGGTGCAGCGTCATGATTTGAATAACTTTTAATGGCCATGGGGTGTAGATTGGCCTGAGCAAATGTGGTGCCGGTGGAACGAAAGCCTTCGGAGGAGTTAGCGAAATTCCAATGTGTGCGGATCGGCAAAAAATGCGAAATAACCCTTTAACCGTACATTAGACAGATACGCGCGCATGGACTTTTTTGTAGATCTTATTGAGATACATGTGTGTGTCAATTTTTGTGTCATTTTGACAAAGCGTACAGGCGTGACAGTCAATAGTGTGAATTTTCACCTTAGGGGACAAGAAAAAATGGACTTTTTTCTCCTGCCATGGGGGGGCGCTCTTTTGGGGAGTAAAAATTCCTTCACAAATGTGTTGATGGCTGGACATTGCATCATCCTAGAAAACTTGGAGGCCAGTGAGGACAAAAATAAAAAGTTATAAGACTTTTAAAAATGTGGATTTTTGGGTTATCTTTGGCGCCCCCTAGAACGTAAACCGTGGGGTGCAGCGTCATGATTTGAATAACTTTTAATGGCCATGGGGTGTAGATTGGCCTGAGCAAATGTGGTGCCGGTGGAACGAAAGCCTTCGGAGGAGTTAGCGAAATTCCAATGTGTGCGGATCGGCAAAAAATGCGAAATAACCCTTTAACCGTACATTAGACAGATACGCGCGCATGGACTTTTTTGTAGATCTTATTGAGATACATGTGTGTGTCAATTTTTGTGTCATTTTGACAAAGCGTACAGGCGTGACAGTCAATAGTGTGAATTTTCACCTTAGGGGACAAGAAAAAATGGACTTTTTTCTCCTGCCATGGGGGGGCGCTCTTTTGGGGAGTAAAAATTCCTTCACAAATGTGTTGATGGCTGGACATTGCATCATCCTAGAAAACTTGGAGGCCAGTGAGGGCAAAAATAAAAAGTTATAAGACTTTTAAATATGTGGATTTTAGGGTTATCTTTGGCGCCCCCTAGAACCTAAACCGTGGGGTGCAGCGTCATGATTTGAATAACTTTTAATGGCCATGGGGTGTAGATTGGCCT